GAAAGGACCCCACACTTTTCTCTATTCAACCCGAGATCCAGAGCACTATTTATATGAGTCACGTAATTTGCAATAAGAACCCTATATTAGTTTCTATTCACACTATCTCACCTCTCCCTCCTCAAAACAGAGCACAGGCAGGGGAAACCGGCCGGCGGCCAATTCGGCACGGGGGTGGCCGATGATAATGGAGGCGGTGCGCAGTGGCAGAGAGGGCGTCTGCCGCTCCTGTGGGCGTTGACGGCATGGCCAGGGCAACTCGAGGCACCCTGGCCACGCACGCACGCGGGCGACCATCGACGGTGGCGGCGCAACCCGGCAAAGTCGACCGAAGGACACGCGGGGCAGCGGCGGGTGGCCACGGCGCACTGGTAGGTGGCTGCGGAGTGCGGCATGGAGGTGGAAGGGCACGGGTCCACGCAGCTTGGGCGCGCTCGCGCAAACGGCGGCAGGCGATGGGAGCGGGACGTGGAGGTGGAAGAGGCGCTTGAGTGGGCCGCCGCCGTGGAGCGGCAGGCCCCGCGCGGGCCGTGGGGCTCACAATGGACGAGCAAGAGGCGAGGCCGGGGTGAGGTCGTGGTCGTCGTGCTGGGCTTCGGACACGGCGAGGAGGGGCGTCGCGCAGAGCTCGAAGTTGCAGTCACGACCGTGGTCAGGCGAGGACGGCAATGACATGGTTGGCGAAGGCGTTGACGATGGAGGCTCGGGCAGTAGAGTCCATGGTAGCGAGGTGGCTCGACGAGGCGTCGACGCCGGACCGGTTCGCGGTCGTGGTGCCGTGGAAGGCACCGTCTCGGCCTCCGGGCATCACGGCCATGGTGGCTAGGAGTTAATTAAGCGATGCGAGGTAGGTGGTGACAGGCCGGGGAGTATGGATGCGGGTGGATGGGGGAGGCTTGCAATGTAGAGCAATGCAGAGCCACGATGAGAGACGAGATGGTGAACAATAGCAATGCCAGGCGAGTACGTTGTACGTCGCGCTAGGAAAAGTAAATGAAGCATGCTGAGCTGCTGCTGCGCTGTCTCTCGTCTGCTACGTGCTTTCACACCAATCACGTGAATTTATGAAGCGGCCAGACATGCAGCTGTGTCGCGGCCTGACGCGAATAACTCGGATGATTGATTCCGAGCGGAGACGCACCATCATCGTCTAGCGGTCAGGACGGCAGTGAGGTGTCTTGTCGCCCTAGGAGCCAGAACCGACGGCCACTACGCGACGACTGCTAAGCAACACGATGCACGATGGGAGGTGAGGAACGCGCCACGATCACCAACGACGATGTCACAGCAGCCATGCGTATTGATGGTACTCGGCTCGGCGGGCACGGTGAGGAGACGGACGCGGTAGCGGCAATGGGATAGCCTGTCGGGAAGCAGCGTCGGTAGCGCGGCCGTAGAGGCGAGACTGGCAACGAGGCCAGCGCACAGCATGGCAGCGACGAGACTAGGCGTGCACACAGGCGTCTATGAGTGTGTTGTGTACGTGGCTGTGTTTTACCAAAATATATAAATAATTATGTAATTACAAATATGTCATTATTTCTTTATCACTAACATCCATACACACATGCATATATTTATTGTATATTTAAACGTATACTTATCTATAGAGATACACTCAGAAAGGAAGAAGTTTGTACATTACTTTAATTAATGTAGCAATATGCTTACCGAAACAAAATACGTGAGTGTACATATATATATACACATATATATATCTCTATCGGTTTACTAATTTCGACAATTAGCAACATCTAGGCATAAGAAAAATTTCAACAAAGCTCGAATTTAAATTAGATTCAAAAGCTATATATATATATCATTCTATTTAATAATATATTTTATTTCCTTCTATTTTTGAGTTCTCTTCTACTCTAATCTTGCTCTAATTTATTATTAACAAGTTAATAATTACATTTTAGCGCTAAAAGGGCTCATGTAACACCGGAGGTTTTACAATTAGTGAGATCAGAATCAACAACTTCCTCAAAACAAAAACATCTAACATCTTTCCTAACTTTCTTAGGGTTATCAAGGTGTTTTATTTGTAGGAGACTAGGCAGCGTGTCCATACGTTGCTACGGGACAACTAAATCTTTTATACTAAAAACACACGGATCGCACGATAACATAACAATATTGTTAAATTAAATACCGATGTCAAAGTGACATTTAATTTAAAAAGCAAAGTTCGTGAAATTAACACAGTCACGAAGAGCGTGACGTCGCAGGCTCACAAACTCTATTGTATAGATTTTTTCATGATACGACTAAGATAATATTTTATATCGGCAAAAAGAATTCTACGATATCCATTTCTTTCATATGCCAATAAATCCATGAATAAGTTCCGCTGCTTCTCCATATAATCATGTACACACAGGTTCGAGTATATGTGCAAATAGGTTCGTGCCCGTGCGATGCTACGGGACAGCTAAACTTTTATACTAAAAACATACGAATCGCACGATAAGATAACAATACTGTAAAAGTATATGACCGACATTAAAGTGATATTTAATCAAAAAAGATAAGTTCGTGAAATTTATATAGTCACAGAGAGCGTGGCGTCGCAGGCTCACAAACTCTACTGTGTAGATCTTTCCGTGACGCGGCTAAGATCATTTTTTATACCGGCAGAAAGAGATTTCCGATATCCATGTCTTTCGTGCGCCAACAAATCCACGAATAAGTTCCATCACATCTCCATACCATCATATACATGGCACATACAAGCGAATTAGCCACAACTTATGTAATTAGTTTTATAATTAGCTCATGTTTAGTCCTCCTAATTGATATCTAAAATTCGATGTGACAGAGACTAAAATTTAGTCCTGGGATCCAAACACCCTCTAACTCTCGATTTTTGCTGGCTGCTCACTTGCACCACCATGCCTATGTGCCTGCACGTATATATTATAATGCCAGAACGTCTAAGATGATCTTTATTGTCCACCCTTTGAAAATATTATAACTTTAAGGTTGCCATTTGTGTATGTTGTAGGATTATGATATTTTATACTGATCCATGAGGGTGTCTATGAGAGTCGAAATTTTTGATGCCATTATGATGTCTAAGCTTACCAATCAGACAGAGACAAACTTGATTGTTAAAATATTTTCAACACTGATTTCATATACTCCCTCTGTCCCAAAATAGAATTCATTCTCGCTTCCCAAGAAGTCAATTTTTTAACTTCGACCAATTATATATAAAAGAATATTAATATTTATAATACATAATTAGTATCATTACATAGACCATTGAATATATTTTCATAATAAACTTATTTGAAGATATAAATGTTGCACGTATTTTTTACAAACCTAGTTAAAGTTGAGAAAGTTTGATCTGCATGCATCTCATAACGACTTATATTTTAGGACAGAGAAAGTATATGCTAATGGGAGTAGTCAACTGGAAGTCGTGATGAACACAACAATACTTTTATATTATATGCTAATGGGAGTACGAAGAAACACAGGAGAATGGACCTATATACTAATGATAGGAATATTCGTTTAGGAAATTGTAGAAGGTTCACCAGTCTCACCATGTATAACTTGCACATCTTTTATTTGGCACCGCTGAAGTTCTCAAGGAGCAACCGCTTTTTAATTTCAAGTCTGCATGCTGGAAACACTAAAATTAAAGGCCAACCTCATTGAGTCGTCTTGCTTGATATTTGCCAATTATCTCGCTTGAGCTTTGCGAACAAATTATACCATTGACAAAGACTAACACATAAAGAGGTAGAAGTTGCAAGAATAAAGTTGGGTGGCCTACTATGCACCCAACCTAAATTTAATACCCTCCAAATTATGGACAATACCATGTAGATGAAAGATATCTGATCGAGCGAGAGTATGCATGATTATTGTTTCCTTCCATACATGTGGCTTCAGATGATCGATTTGTTTCCTTCAAAGCAGGCGGGGATCGCAGAGATGGCAGTTTCTTTTTCTATCGCACGGTGCATGATTATTGTTTTCTTCCATGCATGTGGCATCAGGTGATCGATTTGTTTCCTTCAAAGCAGACGGGGATCGCAGGTGTAGGCAGACGGACGAATCAAACCAAACCAAATGTCGCACCAAAAAATATCTACACTTTATTCTTTTTAGTTGTAGGAGATAAGTTGAATTTGGATCAAGAGATGGATGAAACTTGTGAACCAAATAAAAACATATTAAACTATGAATAATTGTACCAACAGTTGAAAGGGCATCAACAACAAGAACACAATGAGGAGAGGATGAGAACTTAATGAGGAGAGGATGAGAACTCACCCGTCCAACAATGTGGCCATGCTAGACCTTCCAGCGCCGTTGGGTGGCACCTTTGCTCGTGTGCTTGGGCCGTGTAAAGTTGCGCACGCGCCTCCACTGGGGCTGTGCGGGGCTGCGCACGTGCCGCCGCCGAGGCAGTGCGGGGATGCGCACACGCCTCCGCGGGGGCTGCCGCCACAGGCGCTCCTGCTTGGGCCGCCAGCGCCGCCCCCGCCCGGATCCATGCCCCCCGGATCCGCAGGAAAGGGCTCCTCGTTGGGAGGCAAGCCACCGCCGCCGGCCATCGCTTTGGTGTGGTGGGAGTCGCGATAGGGTTCGGGAGAAGAGAAAGAACCGACGACTCAGGACCGTGACCTGTTCGTATGGGTATTTTGGTCTATCCTTCAATTTTCTGACAAGCACAAAATGGTATACCCTAACAGATCTGATGGTAGTGCTAGATAGGGGAAAAAACAAACCCAGTGCTATAATAGAAAAATTTAATCTTCGGATGCGATACAAGGAGCATGTCATTTTGTGACCCTAAATTGGGGATTTTCTCCTTTCTGATGGACCATTCAGATACATCTGCTACGACAGTCTCTGCCCAAAGTCCTAAACCGGCTCCACAGTTGGCTCAGACTTTTCAGAGCTCGCGCTCTCCAATTTTGTACGGACAAACCCCCAAACCCTAGCGGATTCCCTGTCCAACTCGATCCGACCTCGCCATGGACACCTCCGATAACGAGGCTACTGCCGCCGCTGCCGAGGCCAAGAAGAAGACACCCAAGGCAGCGGCGGGCAAGGGGAAGGCGACGGGGAAGGGGAAGGCGGCTGCCGGTCCCAAGGCGTCGGCCAAGGAGAGCAGCCTCCTCAAGCAGAGTGAGCTCCCTCCCCGATCCCCTTTCTCATAAAGAATTTCTTTTTTTTTGTGTCGGTTTATCTTATGCCTTTTGTATCTTTTCTGGGGTTTCTCCTGCAGAATCGCCTGCTGAATTCTTCGCGGAGAACAAGAACATTGCCGGATTTGACAATGTGAGTTGTTCTCTAAGGACTTTTAGCCGATTTGGGTGCAAGTGTGCAACAGCTAGATGTCGCGCATTTGGAAATTTAGCTAGGTGCAGGTGCCCTATTATCTTGTCGACAGACAGTATAATTTCTTTATTTTCCTCCTGGTTCATGCGCAATGTAATCTAGAAATTAAACTTAGACCACATCTGACAGTGGGGAACAAACAGAAACTATCAACCATTGTTTTGATTCACGGATATTACTCACTCTAGTTGTAGTACACTTTTGGGTAGGAAATCTATCAGATACCATTGTAGTCATTATTTCACAGAGATACTGATGTAATGGTGCTGGTCAGCCTGGTAAATCCCTGTACACAACTATGCGGGAGCTAGTTGAGAATGCCCTTGATTCCGCCGAATCCATATCAGAGCTCCCTGATATAGAGATTACAGTGTAAGTACTCCCCAAATGTATTCTTTGTTGTCTTTTCTATTTTGCAGTATGGGACAGTGCCCCTTAACTTTGTTTTGCCATATCCTTGTCAGAGAAGAGATCACAAGGACCAAGTTCAACACAATGATAGGGCTAGAGGATCGACAGCGTTTTGACGAGGCACTATATGATGATTTTGAGTCAGAAAAGGATCGTGAGGTAAGATGAGCACCTAGGTTTGTATTAGTTTGAACATTGTGGATGTATTGAGAGGCGTTGTGGACTTCACAAACTTACCTCTTTGTATTATTCGTAATTTTAAGTCTGATAAAGTTGTATGATTTCGCAATACTTAGAAACGCCTGGCCAAGGAAGCACGTTTCCAAGAAACTCAAGCTAAAAACGCTGCACTTGGGAAGAAAGTTAAGGAGGCTCCATCTGTTCGAGGAAAAGGTCGGGGTGAGGCTGCGCTTTTCAAAGTGACGTGCAAGGTATTGCTGTGACAATGTGATATATCCGACGAAAATATATTTTCTTACTTTTGATCTTGACTAATCCACCCCCCTCCCCCCCGTGGATGCAGGATAATGGTAGAGGTATGCCACATGATGATATCCCAAATATGCTTGGGAGAGGTAGGTTTTTAATGCTATCTTTAATCCATTAATGCTGAATCCAAACAATTTTATCCTTTCTTGCTTGGAGAGGAGATAGTACCATGATGCCCAATATCATTGGAGTTATTTACATTTGGTGCAGTTTTGTCGGGCACAAAGTATGGTTTGAGGCAAACACGTGGAAAATTTGGACTCGGTGCTAAAATGGTAAACTTTTTTGTGTACGCTGTTGAGAAGAAGCTTTCTAAATTGTATGCTGTTGTGAACTATTGTTTTGTATCTTTTTGATAGATAAGAATGAATGCAAACAGTTAGTTGATTTCTGCATTATCATGAAATATTGAAATTGTTTTCTTTCTTTTGCTTGGGCATGACTGTCTTTGGGTTTGGATTGGATAGTGCAAGTGTACAACCAAGCATTACTCATTTTATGCTGTTTGTCATGATACTTTTATTTCATTTCTACATAGCCATGTAAAACTTGCATCATAACTAATGTAAAATGTTATTACAATCATAATAGCAACTTGTTTGCAGTTGGCATAATCATCCTTTTCTTTCACTTTGATTAAACCTTTTAAGTGATCTATTATTAGTTTGTTCTCTTGTTTGTTGTTTAAAATTTGATGGTATTCTTTTGCTTAACCTATCCCTTGTCTAAGAGATACTCATCGTGTTTTGCCTCTGTAAAATAGCTTATGACAATAAACATGTGACCTATAGTATTCTCATGGATTATTATTTTTTTACTGGCTCTAATGTTCTGTTTACATTATAATTGTGGATTAGAACAGGCACTTATATGGTCAAAGATGAGCACAGGACTTCCTATTGAAATTAAGTCATCTATGAAAGACCAGAACTATACTTCCTTCTGTCGTCTGGACATAGATATTCATAAGTAAGTACAGCTTGTTTGTTTGTGTGTATGTTCAACACACGTACTGACTTGATATTGCATTTTGTCTCTATTTATGTCACTTTGGTAACTTCTGCAGTTTACCTTTACCATGACCCATTTTGGTGTATTCCACTTCTCAGAAATATCCCTCATGTTCATTTACATGAGAAAAGAGAGAACAAAACTCACTGGCATGGGGCAGAGATTGAAGTTATAATTGAGGGAAATTGGACAACTCATCGTGTGAGTGGCACGTTTTTGGAACATTTGAAACAAGGAATTGTGCTGTAAAGCTAATCAAGTGATCTCTTTCATGCAGTCAAAGATCCTCCATTATATGCGTCAGATGGCAGTCATCACGCCATATGCTCAGTTCCTTTTTAAATTTCTATCTGATGCAGCAGAGTAAGCATTTCGTTTATGGTTATTTATGTTGTGCGAAAGCTGTTGCCATTTTTTCATGAATGAATTTGTTTCCTGCAGCAAAAACTTAACAATAAAGTTTGCACGCCGGACAGATGTTATGCCTCCTGTTCCACTTCAAACAAAGCATCACCCATCTGCGGTCGATTTGTTACTGATAAAACGCTTAGTTGCAGAGACTACAAAGCAAAATCTTTTACAGTTTCTACAACACGAGTTTGTGAATATAAGCAAGCCACACGCTGAACGTTTAATTGGTGAGTTGTATGATATGCATTGTGGCTGACCTGGTTATTGTAAACTAAAAAAAAACAACTAAGTCAATATAGTTTCTATCTGTTTTCAACACATCATGGACCACTATAGTCCAATTTTCTAGAATAGAATCTTTTGCGATCCTGAAGTAAAGCTTCCTTTGGCAGTTTGATCTTTGTCTTGGTGTTTATGGTTCTGAGTTTCAGTTATGTCTCTAATGTTGCTTTTTCAAAGTATTCTACTCTCCACTAAAATTATTTACAAATCCTATTATAACCTGTTTTGGGCTAAAAATGTAGTTGTATTGTTGTTATACTTTTGTATTACTCTGTATCTAGGCTTTACTATTCTTGTTATCAGTTCTATGTTTTAATATAACATATTTTTGATTTGGTAGGGGAGATGGGACCTGATTTCAGTCCAAAAATGACAGTTAAGAGCCTTACTTCTCAGCAATTAGTTCGAATACATCAACTATTTAGGCAGGCTAAGTTTGATGATCCCAGTGGCAATGTATGCATTCCCTACCTCCTTTATTTCTCTGCTATTCTTTGGCTGCTTTCATATGTGCAACTGGTCATCGTGGTATCAAAATCAACCAATTCTATAGTGTCTTAGTCCTGCAGGTGAATATAATTTACGCCTGGGTATCATAAAAGAGTTGCACCCTGATATGGTTGCAACACATGCAAGCAGGTATATCATTTTAACCAGATTGATCTCCAGAAGGGATTTCAATACTGCATATTTGAACAAACTAATAACTTAAATGTTGTCCTCCGTTCAGCGCTCAGGTTTTTGAAGGTCACCCATTTATCGTTGAAGCTGGGATAAGCATTGGTGGAAAAGATGTTAAACAAGTAAGGAAACACTTCAAGTTTTACTCTGTACGGCAACATTTATGCTTTTATTTATTCTGTTAAAAAAGATTGTAGAAACATGTATTTTGTTTGTCCTTTGTGGTTCCAGCAATTTTCAATGATAGGCAAATAGCCCCCCAAACAGATCACCAGGAACTCCCATACACACGAACACAGTGGGTTTGGTGGCTGGAATGACTTAGTCATTCTGATTTTCTCTCCAATATTTTAGGCTGTGATAGCCTTGTAATTAATGCAGAATATTACACAATTAGCCTCTATTACTGTTATTACTTCATGCTGAAATTAAGCTCCTAGACACAGGATTATTCCCAACATTCAATTTGTGATGGTATTATTGTAAAGATCATGATAGTTGATTACTCCTATTTGATTTCCTGTCTTATTTGATGCTAACATTTTTAAATTTCCCAGGGTAGTTCCTTTCTGTCTGAGATACTGGCCTGCAACAACAACAACAACAACAACAAAGCCTTTAAGTCCCAAACAAGTTGGGGTAGGCTAGAGTTGAAACCCAGCAGAGTTGAAATAATCATCAAACATGTAAACAATTATGACATTAAACAAAAGAGGAAAGATTATGCTTGATAACTAATACCCATAACACTACTTCCTCATGTTTGACTAAAATTATAGGGAAACATGTTAACTTCTAATGGCCTGGCCTGCAAAAAAGAAAAATGTTAGAATTTATGAATTTCACCACTCTAAAAATTGGAAGAATGAGAACTCGCAATTTTGGCTATCTGTTGAGACCTGGGCATATCTGATTTAAACAGTAATAGCTGCTTGCACGTTTTAGATTCACTGAGTTCTTCCACTTCATTGATTTGATGGTGAAACTTTTAATGAGCAAACATAATTGTTTGTCAGTATTACATTGAGCTCCAACTATGGGGAATGTTCTTTCCATCCTTTGCTTTTTAAATTTTACTCCCTCCGTCCATGAATAGAAGGCGTAACCGCTTTTTTCTATAGTCGGCTGTGTCCTGGCACCATTCACGCGCATGCAACATTTACTGCTGTGCCTGCTAACGTCCTTGCCTCCCTCCTCCCTCGCCGCATGCACAGACCGTTACTCACAGAGCATGCATGTTCTCTTTCTCGCACGTGGAGGAGTGAATGGGCTGGCCATTCCTGCATGCACGCTTGCGCGACATCCAAAACGCTCTCCTTGGAACGCACGTAAATTAGATTGTTTATTGGTCTTGGACTCTTGGTGCTGGAGGAGTTGTGCCTTCTATTTACGGACGGAGGGAGTAACTGACAAGATAACACTACATGATTCTACTGGGATTAAAATTCTTATATTGTTATCTTTGTTTCATTCAGGGTCTAAATATTTTTAGGTTTGCAAACAGAATACCGCTTCTTTTTGAACAAGGTGCTGATGTCATCACAAGAACTGCTCTAAAAAGGATCCCGTGAGTATTTTTTTTAGCTTGGTTAGTGTATCATTAGTATCAGATGTTCTACCTATTCTATACCTTTCCCCATCCTGCTTTTTAGTTGGAGCAGCTACAAAATTAATCATCAGCAAGATAAGATTGGTGTCTTTGTGAGCATTGTAAGTACAAAGATACCTTTCAAAGGAACTGGAAAGGAGTACATTGGGGATGACATAACTGAAATATCATCTGCTGTTAAGGTACATTCGAACTTCCCTGATTAACTTTGTCTGTAAGGCCACATATTAATCACCTCTTGCACCAGTCAACCCTGAAGCAGTGCTGTCTTCAACTGAAGTCTAAGATTGTGAAGAAACTTCAGGCTCGTGAGCGGCAGGACAGGAAAAGGAACCTGAACAGGTAGTTTCTACTTTCTACTTTGGGGGTCAGAGTGTTGTATAATTAGAATTATGGCAAAGCTCCTGTTTTTGAAGCTGTACTGAACCGCACATTCCATAATACTTGTTGAATGCTGATATTGGTTGGTATATAGTGTTACTACTGGCATTCAGGATGACAACGTAAACTCCTGGGACTAAAACTCGTCTTCCCTAATCCTTACCTGTATTTGTAGAAAAAGCTACATTCTGTGATAATGAATTTATTATGAACAAAATGACTCACATGCTGCTTCACACTGACACAAAGTTCTCCCAAATTGTATGCATTTTTAACTTATTTTACTATTTTATATTTACAGATATATTCCTGATGTTGCAAGAGCGATTATGGAAACTCTGGTAGAAATTGCAGATCAATCTCCCCCCAAACGGCCACGCTATGATAAGGAAGATGAGGAACTCCTTGAGAAGGTAAATTCTGAGGAGGTGACAGAGATGACATTTAGAGACTGCTTGACTCAGCATGTTGAACAGGTAAGAAAAAACTTATATATAAACAAAATAAAGATAAATCTGGGTCTGACACATTTTCTTGTGTGCTATGTTTCAAGATGTGTCTGCATTACTTTTCAGAAGTCATATATGATATATTGAATGAATTCGTGATGTGGAATACAATCACGTCATATTGGTTATTGCTTTTTTTTCCCTATTGCAAAGCTGCATGACGTCTGGAGTGCTGATAAATTAGGCCATCAAACGTTCTATTTCAATCATCTGTTTATTTTTTTATTATTCCCCAGGTTGACTATGAAATGGCACTGGACTACGCCATGCAGAGTGGAGTAAGCCAGGAGCCCCGAGAAGCAATATATTTGAACTCACTTGAAGGATCTTACAAGTTTGTCGACTTACAGAGTCCAGTCTTCATGTTCAGATTTGTTCCTTGAGAGGGAAACTTACACGTCCACCGCCCTCAGGCCCATCAATACCAAATTCCCATAGTTCTTAGGATGGAAACTGTCCATCAATTGTATTGATATTGTACCTGTTGAACTTTATGCTTAAGCTGTTTTGACTGAGCTGTTCATGTAGTGTAGGCATTAGTGCATTACAAGTTGCTAAGTAGCTTGAACCTAGGATGCCTGTGTGTGTGTGGGTGGGGGGGGGGGGGGGGGGGTTTTTTTTTTATAAATAAACATCACTTTTTTCGTACTTTTAATGTATTTTTTTTATTTTTATGCCAACCAATTTGCATGATCCTTGTTAGTTGTTACTGCTATTGCCATATTCTAATCCTTAACTAATTGGCCACTTCTTTATTTCTTTTTTCCTTTGATAATTATGTTCTGTCCACCATGACATCTCTCCTGACCTGGTGAACTAGCTCGTCCTCAACCTGCAATGTTGGATAGAGATTTTATGAATGTTGCATCCTCCATTGAACTTTATGTATCCAGTTGATTTGCCCATTTGATTAGTAATCGGAGGGTGCCTCTATATAGTCGAACCCATAGTATCTTTTTTTCTGGTTGTGGTAATGCATGTCCTTCTGGGTGATTGGTACTGGTGGCAGTTGTTTGGCCATTGTCCATGGAATTGCTTGGGTAGACTTATACATGGAAAGGAAAACATTGTGGATTCTGCTAGACGGTGGCAATTCCAATCGGTAGCAATTGAGTATATTCTTTCTATGATTCTGAATGGCACAAAATATTTAGGAGGTAATTTTGTTTTGTTGCTGGTTGTTATTGCTATGGTTGTCATGCCAGGAGTTTTAGATATACATAATCTCTGATGTTTAAGTGTCTCTCAATGGATGTGCTTCTCATTTACAGTGCTTTTGATATTGGTTCTAGGCTTCTTGCAACCTTTCATGAGTGGTAGTCAACAAGTTATCCCTTTTAGTTTCAGACAATAAGTCTTCCAATGCACCTATTTCAAATGTTTTTATTGTTGCAACGATGTTGTTTGTAATGCTGAGCGGTAGGATGTCTTGTAGCAATATACTGCTCAGGGTAGCTATTGTATCCAATCTTTGGATTTATGACCTGAAAAGCAGCGTAAATATATTACGATTACCTTGTTGACACCTTCTGATTGGCCATCTGATTGATGATAATCTGTTGAATTCATGTTTAACTTAACCTCTGATAATTTGAACAATTGCTTCCAAAATTTAGTTGTTAGGACCACGTCTGTCACTTACGATCGCTCACCGATCAGAACATATGCGATGTATTCTGACAATTCTGCACTATTGTAGAGCGGCTATGCATATGTATTTGGGAAAAAATGTCTTTAGATTTTACGATGGATTAAGCGAAAGTTTTAGGAAAAACAGTAACCTACAGAGGTGATAGATTAACAAGTAGACTCTATTAAATGGACTCTTACTAGCAAGGGGGTGTTTACTGTTCAATCAATGTATAAAAGAATAGTAAACCAAATAGCTATGCCCATAAAGCCCTTTGGAAGCTCAAGGTACCCCTAAAAGTCAAAATTTTTGTTTGGTTCTTAATAAAATGGGGTGATTTTAACTGAAAGACAATCTTTTAAAACGAAATTGGAAGGGTGATGAAAAGTTTTGTTTTTGTAACAACAAAGAAACCATCCAATATTTATTTTTTGAGTGCCATGTAGCACGCTTTATTTGGAGGATTGCTCACATAGCCTTTGGTTTACAACCACCAAGAGATATGACTAGTTTTTTCCAAACATGTTACAACACGTAGACTCAAAGTTGCATCCTCAAATTCGAGTAAGAGCAAGCGCAATATTTTGGTCTATATGGTTGACCAGAAATGATGTAATATTTGACAAAAAAATATTTTACTCTTATTTACAGGTTATTTTCAGGGCGCTTTACTGGACGCGGTTCTGGTCCACACTTCAAAAGGAGGACGACGAACCAAATTTGAAAAAGGGCATGCCGAGTGATGGAGATTGTAGCAATGGAAATTTTCGCTAAGAATGGATGGTTGCTTTCTAATAGGCTTATGCCCTGTTCGCTTCTCTTATAATCCATCTTTTCAGCGGAATAGTGTTTTCCTCTCACAATAAATCAGCTGGAACAGTGTTTCAATTTGTTTTTTCAGCGAAGTGAACATGACCTTAGAGCTTAATTTATTTATACAGTCTCTCATACTTTTGATGTTTTTTGTGAGCTTTTCTACGTCAGCTGGTGACTGAAACGTTATAATAATGATTGGTTGAGTGCAAAACTCTTAGGCCCGAATAAAAATTCATTTATCTAAAAAAACAGAGGTGATAGATTCTCAAAATATGCTCAGTTTATAACGTTGGCCCATCCATACACAGCCGCTACAGTGTGCAGAACATCTGAACCGTCCAATTGTCTCCATAGCAGCGTTGGTCTTCGGGGTGAAAATTCAGCAAAGGCAAATTTCAGTAAGCTTGAGTCAGATCTGATTCAGTGTTGCTGCACCAAGAACCGAGGAGAACATGGCGGGGGAAGGCAACGGCCGCGCGGAGCTTCCCCGGATCGCGGTGATCGGCGCCGGCATCTTCGCGCGCACGCAGTACATCCCAAGGCTCCGCGAGATCGCGCACCTCGTCGTCCTCAAGGCCATCTGGAGCCGCACCCAGGTGTGTGCCCATCCCCCCACACAAATTCACGGCTCAATCAGTCCCTCGGCATGCAGCATTGGAAATCTCTGCAACTACTGCACTATACATGCTGGAAGTCTGCAGTCCCTGCATAGGCGCAGTGCGTGATGCGCTGCAGCAAAGAGGGATTGTAGTGTCTGACTATTTTCGCACATTCCTTCAGGAATCTGCAAAGGCGGCCGCGGAGCTTGCTCGTGACTTCGCGCCTGATATCGAGTGCAAGTGGGGTGATGCGGGCCTGGAGGAGATCATGGGAGATAGTTCAATCATCGGCGTTGCTGTTGTTCTCGCTGGGCAAGTCCAGGTCGGTGTTCCGACTCGGAAGAGTTGACATATAGCATGAAGCATTAGTGTCTAGTTCACTACGCAATTACATGATCAAGCCAAGCAACAAACCTTTTTAATGACACTTTAAAATTTTACTATTACTGAACATTGTATCCTCTGTCCTTAGATTTCTTCATACAAAGCTAGTATTAAGTTTTACAGTTTTGCTCACTATTCCAGATAACTACTATTTGATGCAAACTGCAATTTCTTGTTGTTTCTGATCATCCACATTCCACAACCACAAGCATACTACCGCTGTGTTTTCAGTGCTCCATTTCTTTCAATAACCAATTGTTCAATATTTCACGCAATTCTCCATGTCATATCTAACCAATTGTTCAATATTTCGCTCAATTCTCCGTGTCATATCTATTTGTCCAATGATAGTGTTCCAAAAATCATTTTATGTTAACTACTTTCTTAATTCTACACTTCTGGATCAAAGAAATGATACTATCAGAGGTGGAGCTTAGTGAGGGGCAAGTGGGCCATGCATTTCACCACTTTTTAACTGCTAATGAAATACTAACCTGCTGTCCTGCTCCCCTCTCCTTGCATTTCATATCATATTGGTCCCCTCTCCTTTCATGCCCAGGCTCTGCCACTGGATCCTATGTTGGATTATAATGTCAATCTAACAACCTGTTGTGTCTTCAAGAGTCTTACCCACTTACGGTATTGTCCAAACCTGCAGGTTGAGCTTTCCCTAAAGATGCTCAAGGCTGGAAAACATGTTATTCAAGGTCAATAAAAATACAAAAATGATCTTAATGACATGATTTGTGGTACTTTAGTAGCTGCAATGAAAGAGGAATCCAATTCATCCTTAAGGAAAAAAAGACTCTAGTTCTTTCTCTTTTTTATCTTATTAATCTGTATTTCTCTGCTAAATGAAAATAGCCAATGCTGTCAAATATTCTAATTTGTTTATTTCTGTTTGCATGATATATTTTCCTGTGTCATGAAGAGAAACCTGCTTCTGGATGTAAGTACATTTTGCTTTCTTTGTATCTTTTGTTAGCGTTATAGTGGACAGAAGGTACATCTGATATGCATTGTCATAAAAATTTTAGCAACAACAGAAGCAGAAACTGCACTGTCAATCTACAACTCACTTCCAAACCAGTTCCCGCATAAACCCATTTGGGCTGTCGGTGAGAACTACAGATTCGAACCTGCCTTTATTGAGGTACAGTCGCAACATTCTCTCTTTTTTTTTTTTTTTGCCCCAGTTGGTGTTTAACTAATTTATGTCGGTCATCTAATCTGTTTATTCTTATCTACAGTCAAGCAAGCTGATCAATGATATCGGGGATATGATGCACATCCAAGTTATCATCGAAGGGTCAATGAACAGTTCAAACCCATATTTTAATAGCACCTGGAGACGCAATTTTGTGGTAAAGAACATTACTGTGCATTTTTCCCCTTGTGTTAGGTGCTCCATCTTCTGTTTCCATAGTGGCTCTTATACCCTATAAAATTCCAAGCTGCAGCACAAATATGTGAAGTAGGCAATGGGTAAGGACTAGTTAAGTTTCAGATTACTGGAGTAGCTCATGTGAGGTTCATTGATTTTACAAATTATATGCTAATGTTACTAAACATTAGGTATTTGATTGTCAAACTAAAAGGCATTTTTTCCTGCAAAACTATAGTCTTATGAATTACAGTGCAATATAATTTGCATACCTTTTCTATTCAGTGTGAATTTAACTTTCTAGTCAATAAAACTGTAGTACTCTGTTTGCTCGTCGAATGATAGTTTTCCTGGTTTTCTATTTTACAGTACAGTTCAATTATATATAGGTGTTGGTAGCATATGTTATGTCACATTTAACTAAATTCTCTAGTTCTCAGTTGGCTTTTGCTATGTTACAATAATCTTTCTGCTGGATCATTCGACTTCTGCAGTTTTGAGAGATCCAAACACTTTTGTAGATGCCCTTTTCAGTAACTATACTCCTGCAAATATTTTCTGCTGTCCTCTGCAAATGGTGTATTGCCCAGAGCAGTATAGAAATGTTTCATTGTATTTTAACTCAAGATGCTGCCCTTGTCCTTACTTTGATAGCTTTACATTGCAGGGTGGTTTCATTCTGGACATGGGTGTTCACTTCATTGCAGGACTACGAATGGTAATTTCTCCATGTTATATTTCAAAGTTTGAAAAAATATGGATCAGGTTCTGGCCTATGTTACCAGAAGCAACATTGCTGAGTTAATAACTGTAATCAATTTTTTGAATTTGGCACCCCACATCAACATAGAAAGTTGAAGTGGTAAGATTTTCCACCTTGGAACTTTTCTGATAGTTATATCCTTTGGTCAAGTGGCTTAGCAATGTTTCTACTTACTGAATTGATGTGCCATTTAAGATGACAAATTCATTCACTAATTCCCTTGCTTGCTTTGTTAAGATGAGGATCTTTCTCTAACAGCTTGTAGGTTCAGAAATCACAAGTGTATCATCTATCTCCCGTCATGTGGATATGACTTTGCCGCCACCAGATAACATATGTTCCCTTTTGTAAGTTTCCGAAATAGAAAGTGATTTGTGAACCAATTTGTTTCATATCTAACAGATGTTCGATGACTTTATGCAGCCAACTAGAAAATGGATGTGCTGGTGTCTTTGTGTTTGCAGTCAATTCAAGATCACCAAAGGTTGAATTGAATCTCATTCTAAATCCTTTACGCCAATCACACATGCCATTCTATCTAATATAACAAATTTATATATCTTTGTCACATACTCTGTTAGTGTTTCTCAGTACGTTAGTAATTACACAGATATTATGGCGGGTCGATGGAACAAAAGGAACAATTCAGGTAGAACGTGGAGTTGATAGTGGAAAACATGGCTACCAGGTAAAAAGACCATTTTTTTCTGCATATATCAGTTGAGCTAATGCTTGCTACCTTTGCTGCACTGTTTATGCAGTTGCTCAGTACTGTCATAAAGGCTTTTCGTCTTTGTTTTATTTTCACCATATTATGATAGTTCTGTATGACAGCGTTATAATGAAATTGATTGTTACAAGTAGTTCTGTTCAAACAAATATGCTTGTGTGTCATACCCGGTGCCATAGGATACATGGGCCTTGATATCATGGGCTTTAGGCCTTGTGGTTTTGGGCTAGCATGTTGCATAGGAGTATTGAGTGATAGTCATAAAAGGAGTGCGGAAAGACAGAGAGAAGGGAGAACAGAAAATATTCAAAAACACGAACGGGTCAGGGAGGTGTTCTTCCTCGCTATTGAGATCCTATCTTCCGATTTCCTCTATGCTTAGCTCATGCCCGCGGTTCGATCTCGCCGTGGGCAACGGGTGGTGACATTGTGCATAAATATTTTACTTATGAACCACCTCATGCATTTACAGGTGTTATTCTCTGGTGAAAATGGGCAGTGCCAGAGGACATTTTACCCATTCTGTGGAGTGAATGAAGAACTGAAGACATTTGTCCAAGACATGTTGGCAGCTGGCAAAGTATTGCTATTAGTGTTAATCAGTTTTAAATTATTTTATTATCTCCTTTCACCAAGAAGCATTCATCGAGATACCTTGGACTTCCTCTTTTGAAAAAGAAACCATGATCTAAGTTGCAGCTGTTGTTCCATTTAGGCATAATATTACAACATAAAGTTTGAAGTGTAGGAGAGTCCAGGTGCTAACAAACACTTGTTAGCATAAGAAAAGTAACTCAAAATTATCCTCATATAGAACGTCTCGTTAGTTTGTATGAATTGGAATTGACACAAGAAAGTTGATTCTTTACTTTGCTTCATTCCATCTTTAAAAAATTGCTTCATTCCGGTTTTTAATCTTGGTACTAAGCTAAAATGGTGATGCAGGATGGAGATCACAAAGCTGAACCCCGCAGTTCCTATGTCGAAGGCGCCTGTGATGTTGCTGTGCTAGAAGCCATGTTGGAATCTAGTGCGAAGCAAGGAGCCCCAGTTCAAGTAAAGAGATTCTAACAGATCTGAAATATCACAGGCTGAAAATTCGGCTACTGCTGCTGCTGATTTGTTGTTAGAGAAAAAGCACTGTTCCATCGCTGAAAAGTAGTGCTGATAAGTTCAAGCGAACAGGGCAACAATACTGCTATTAGTGTTCAAGGGTGATTTGTCCATTGGAACATCATAGATTTTCAGCAGTAGTAAAATGAACATTGTTCCAAATTCATGTTTATACCCTTGAGGGTATATATGAAATATACATAATGCTAAAATGGCTCATAGAATCAACATTCTTTCACTGAGATCTACCATATTTGCCCAGGTATATTTAACCTCATAAAAATCATGTACCTTTTCTTTTAAGGACCACATCTTTTTTTCCTTGTTGATTTTTTTTTTGGCTGCAGCTTTGCAAAGGTGACTTATTTTTTGTGGAAAATCAGGCTGAATTAAGTCTTGAGAGAATTCATGCCTGACCTGTGATTTACATATCGAACATTTGTGTTCACGAGAAATTAAAGGTTGCTACCAGACAGAATTACCCTGAGCTCTGTCGGCCCAACCTTTCATTTGTCTGTTATATATGGGGAGCATCAAGTCGCTGGGGCCACCTGTCAGGGACTTGGCACTAAAATGGTATCCAAGCTTTCGAATAACGATTTTCATGGATCTGGTACAGTCCTAGTCCTAGAAGAAAGTTATAGAAGCTATCGCGAGAGCGGATGTTCCTTGTGTTTTAGGATTAATTAAAAAAAGAAATTGAAACTTGCACATAGTATATTAGAAGATTAACTATTAACAACTTGTACATCAGGAGGTACTAAATATAATTGTACAAGAGTATAAATCAGAATACTGCAGATGGAAGCACTTAGAGCATGTTTGGTAGGGCTCCGGGTGTACCGCTCTTTCACCGAAGCCGAAGCCGACTGGAGCAGCAAAACACATCTCCATGTCCGTACAACTAAAATGACTCCTGCTCATCTATTTGGTATCAGAAGTGCTCCTCGCACAAACGTCTGATGTGGCTCCTCTGGCTCTGGTGACAGCCTTAATGAGTAAGAAGTGCTGGGGTGATTAAAAAAAACAGAAAATATGATGCCTTGATGGGCTCCTGTGAGCTGCTGGAAAAAGCTAGCTTGAAAAGCTAAAAACTCTGCTTTATATGTATTTTCCTTTTAAAATTAATCAAATGTATAATACCTCTGACATCCTTCAAAACAGTACCCTAAAGAAGTCGGCATCTAGAACTGCTTTTGGTTTCTAGTAGACTAGTACAAGTAAAATTTTGGCTTTCAGAAGTCACTTTTAGAAGCAGTATGTTCGCTTCAGCTTTTGTCCAGAAGCCAAAACCAAAAGCTAAAGCAAGCAGTGCCTAAGTAGGGCTTGTAACTTGTATATAGCTAAAGATTGGTCTATCGCGCGCTCCTATAGTGCGGCTACAGCCATTTAGTTCCATGAGCTTATAAGTTTGGCTGGTTGGAGCAGGAGCAGGGAGATGAATGAAAAAGCAATTCGATCCTTCGGTCGGCTGGACCTCAGGAGCTTTTAGTTATTGGTTGCGCCAGGTTGATTCTCATCATCAGACATCAGTTCTTGCTGTTTAAGATGAGGTATGGTTAACTAGCAGGGCACGAACGGCTGTTGACTTACCTGTGATATGTGAGATATATATGTGGGACACAAGCCGAGGAAGGTTTTTGTCATGCCATCAAAGTCTTATATCCCAACTGATGGATATAAGTTGGGGTGGCAAACCCCACCGTTAAATCATGACAAAAATACAGGAAAATACGACCACCCATGTCAAGTCGAGTTGAGAACTTAAACCTGTGTGGCCAATATTCCACCATAGGAAACCCTACCAGCTAAACTAGTTGCTCAGTTCGCTCATGATAGCGTTTGAATTATGGTGCCTACAATACAGTTGATGCATGCATGCTATTCTCAACGCTAAATTTGTAGACAGAAAAATAATAGGAGAATTATTTGCAAACGCAAACATTTTAGTGTTCAGTTGTAAACACCATGTAATGCATGATTAAGTTGATTGTGATGTTTTCTTAATCTTTGTAGCTGTTTAGTTGACGACTTCATTTCTTTTTTTCTTGTCGTTTGAGTTCATTGCACATGTTTATGTTATAATAATAAAAGTAGCATCAAGATAAGAATTACGTTTAGAAGCAACAAAGATATTGTGTGATACTTATGCTTCTCAAATCTCAAGTGGTGCAAGTAGAAGCACTAGTGACATTGACATCTAGGTTTACTTTGACAAGTACATGAACTACTGATTGACTTCGTGTTTTATTTCCATGGTTGTATATGTCATGGAGAGGAACTTTAGTTGTACTGATACACTAGTATCTAAGAGTCAATGTCTTGGGATGTTTCGTTCTCAGGCACCCCTTTTTCAGCCCTGTTCACTTCTCTTGTAATCTATCTTTTTTAGCTTGTTTTTTCAGTCGGAACAGTGTTTTTCTCTCACAACAAATCAGCCGGAACAGTGTTTCGGCTTGTTGATTAAAATGGAGGAGTGAAAGGTCTCCAAGAAGCAATCATTTACATTTATTTGAGGTGACCAATGACCTGTACGTACCCACAACCCCGTAGGATTTGTAACCCCAGATAATTAGTTGTGAGGTCTATAAGCAACTAAATGGTTTGAACATGTGCATGTTGCAAAAGGTTTACAAAACCGGGAGGAACGTTATACGACCAGGACTTGGTACTCCTGCTTCTGCAATGGATAAAAAACAGCATTGATCAAGTCAACATGTTTTACATGAATTGGCTACAGTCTGGAAGCTACTTATTATTCTTGTCTTGTTGCTGCCGGCTTTGTTTATCAACCTCTCTTTTTTGTGCATACTTTCTATGTAACATCTATATGGGTTTCCTTTACTGTTTTTTTTCGGGGTAAAGAAAAGGTCTAAGCACGGCAACTCGATGCAATTCCAGTTCTTCATATTTGACTTGTTTCGGGCAGCTCTTCATTTGCTTTGGTCATCTTACTACTTGATAAAAATCTAGTGGACATATCTATTTTCTAGATACCTTTGTTGTTTTTTTTATAAGAAAAGCTTTATTAATTCCAAGATCGTTACATCGAGATGATATAAAGACCTTGAAACACTTCCGGTCTCTGTATAACAAGGATACACACCCTTACAAAAGATCTTAAAATAGAAAGGTACACTAATAACACTCAATCCGAAGACTAGACTGCCACCCATGTGCCCGGGTAAAAAACTCCTTGGCCACCCGTGCCAATTGTTGAGATGCCGCTACAACCAAATCTTGTGAAGTTGACTTCTGTAGGATAGCCCATGTACGGAGCCAATGTATAATCGAGTAGATAACCCGTAAAGGAGAAGAAGTACGTTTCTTTTCAAAAACCAGGTCATTCCTACATAACCAAAGAGACCATCACATAGCTGCTGCTCCTAGCAAGGCTAACGATTTCAGTTCTTTACTTAAACCGCAGAGCCAAGAACCAAACATGCTTGATACACTATGCGGTTGAGACAAGCCTGAAGCCGCCTGGATAACAGACCAGACAGCACGAGCGAAAACGACACTCAAAAAACAGGTGCTTAATTGTCTCATTTTTGTGAAAAAAACAACACTGTTTGCTGCCATGCCAATTACATTTAACTAAGTTGTCTTTGGTTAACACTACGCCTCTACGTAGGTACCACAGAAATATCTTGATCTTCAACGGAGCTTTTAGTTTCCACAAGCCTTTATTAATATTAGGGACATCATTATGGATCATTGCCAGGTAATGAGATTTGACTGAGAACTGTCCATTAGGATGCAAGTTCCAGCGAAATTCATCTTCTTGCTAGCTTAACACAAATATTCGTGATGCGTGGAAGTAAATTGTTCCAAGCCACTAATTTGTGTCCAATTAGATCTCTTCGCCAGGATAGAGTAGGTGGAGACATGCTTAGCACTTCTGCTATGCTGGGCTATGTTATAAAGGCAAGGATATTGTTGACGCAGAGTTGACTGTCCTAGCCACCTGTCTTCCCAGAATTTTACTTGTGATCCATCCTGAATTATGAAGGTCCCAAAATGCAGAAAATCTCATTTAACCTTCATCAGGCTAGCCCATAAATGCGAGTCCCCATTCTTCATTTGAACTTGAGAAAGAGGCTTAGATCATAAATATTTTTTGCGTAGCATTTGTTGCCAAGTACACTCAGTTGTGAGCAATTTGAAAAGCCACTTACTCAGAAGGGCTGTGTTCTTGATGTCTAAATTGTGAATTTCAAGCCCACCTTGGTTTATGGGTTGGCATAATATGTCCCATTTGGCTAATCTGTATTTTCGTTTTTGTTCATCACTTTGCCAAAAAAATCTTGACATGAAGTAGTCTAATTTCTCGAGAACTCCTTTTGGGATCGCAAAAAAGGACATCATATACATTGGTAAGCTGCTAAGCACTGAGTTAAGCAGTGTCAAGCGCCCACCAGTTGACAGATGTTTTTCTTTCCGGCTGCAGAGTCTTTTTTCAAAACATTTTTCTCCTCTTTTCCAATCTGCATTTGAGAGCCTCCTATAATGTATAGGTACGCCCAAATATCTCATTGGAAAAGCTCCTTGATTACAACCAAAAAGCTCCATATATTGGGGCAAAGATTCTTGTGCTGCTCCAAAACAAAATATTTCACTCTTGTGGACGTTTATTTTAAGCCCTGAAAGTTGCTCGAATGCACAAAGTGATAACTTCATGTTGCGAGCGTTTTCGAGGTCATGATCCATAAAGACTAACGTATCATCAGCATACTGTAGAATAGATAAACCTTCATCAACTAGATGTGGCACTATTCCACTTATCTGATTATCTGCTTTGGCTCTTTTAATTAGTATAGCTAGCATATCAGCTACAATGTTAAACAGAATGGGGGATAGTGGATCCCCTGTCGAAGGCCTTTTTTTCGTTTGAAAGTAAGGTCCGACCTCATCATTAATATTGATTGCCACGCTTCCACCTTATATAAAAGCTTGCACCCAAGAGATTCACTTAGGAGAGAAACCTTTCATCCGCATTGTTTGTAGTAAGAAAGGCCATCTAACTTTGTCGTAAGCCTTTTCTAAGTCTATTTTAAAAATAATTCCACTTTGCTTTTTACAATGCAACTCATGAATTGTCTCATGCAGAATGACGACTCCCTCGAGGATGTTGCGTCCTTGTATAAAGGCCGTTTGAGTTGGACCAACTATATGTTCTGCTATTGAGTTAATTCTAATGGTTGCCGCTTTAGTGAAAATTTTGAAGCTAGCATTTAGTAAGCAAATTGGTCGATATTGTTGAATTCTATTATCTTCTTGGACCTTCAGAATCAGAGTTATGAGACCAAAGTTGAGGCTAAAGAGCGGTAAGGTTCCCGAGTGAAGATCATGGAACATTTGCATCAGGTCCACTTTGATGACATCCCAAAACTTTTTATAAAACTCAGCTGGGAAG